TAACTGGGAAATATCTGGAGCCTCCATGGAAAATGACGGCATCAAAAGTGTCTATTACTGCAGCCGCAGCTTCTCTGACAGAAAATTCAACCATGTCCTTTAATTTGGATTTAACATTTAATAACAGCAGACCGGGAATAAAAATACCACTTTAAAATAAACTGGTTTTAAATTAAATTTTTTTAGGTAGATCAGAGAATGAAGTGACTATTAGTCTGTAAATCCATCATTTCCTGTTCCTCTGGAGATAAATATGTGCAATGCAGAGGCCTGTCGCTCTAAGCCAGTCCTCAGAATGAGAACGATAAGAGAACATGACCTTCAAGCAAAGCAAATGTCTCTCACTCGCGTTTTGTGAGAAAATGGCTACTATCTGATATGCCCATTACCATGGTAACAGGTTTAAAAATGATAAAATGCAAGGGGATGAAGACTGATGTTTATCCAGGAGAGATGATAGTGAGGAAGGTCAAACTATCCTACAGCTCCCTGCAGCAAACAGAAGCACCCTGAAGTCATCAGATTCTGACTGTGCAGCATTACCTTCCTACCATCACAAATGAAAACAGGCAGAGTTCATGTTACTTATTAAAACTTTCAAACACCTGGGTAGGTCTGGTATATAAAAAGGGAGAATCTCTCAGGAATAAAATAAATAAATAAATTGAACTTTATTGATTTCACAATGGAGAAATTAACTCTCTGCATTTAACCCATCCCCTTTTATGGAGCTGTGGGGTGCCACTGTGCAGCGCCCGGGGAGAAATCAGAGGTTGAGGGTCTTTGCTCAGAGAGCCAGAATGGCAGTCTGTGGGATTCCAAGCCCTGTGCCCTAACCACTAGGCCGCCACTGAGAAATGATCCCTGAAAAGCAACATGAACCATGGTGGAGTCCTGTGATGCTGTGGGCTGCCTTTACTTCCAAAAGTCATTGGGAACCAGTAAAATGTGTTAATAATCTAAAACATGTGGTCATATCAACACAGAAATTCTTCAGCAGACACAGAATCATCTTTTTTTAAGCCTGCTTCAGTCCTCAGACCTTAACCTCAAGGGAAACAGTGGCATCTGAGTAGAAGAGAGCATCGAAGAGACTGGGACACTGCAGAATGTGCAAAGAGGTTGGCTCTGTAGATGTCTACTCCATCCTACTCATATAGATTAGGGGAAGCTACGTCCTATTGGCTAAAGGGGGTAGAACCTCTTTCATAAGTTTTAAAAGTGCAAAACCAGTGATTTGTTAAAAAAACAGCTGTTAAGTTTTTTTTTTTTTATGTTTTGGTAATATGGTATTAAGTGAAGGAATCCTATAATAATAGCAGAGAATAATGCACAAAACAGTATTGGAATGACAGCATTAGGGCAGGCCACACAGAGACTCTCAGATTACCTTCTTTATCCATTTTATTTTTCCTTTACACCACACAGACCATCCGCTTAGAGTGTAAAGCTACCATCTGAGAAGAAAGTTAACTTTTTTCTTTGGTTTGTCATTCCTGAAATATAATCTATGAGTAGGCCTTTCAAATATGAACATTGAATGTCCCGTAAGTGACTGCAATAAACCATAACATTGTCATCGCTTTGCAACGAAATCTAAATTAGAATTTCACAGGCTAGCTGGTCCTCTTTAATGAGGCCGTAATGCAACAGTCACTAGCTAATTCCTGGTTGATGCATAGGACTGAAACCTTTTTTTTTATCCAGACTCTTTAGAACCAGGACCAATTTGCCTGTTTGATCCGTATGATTATGCAACACAGAGGTGATCCAATCTATTCATGTGTTTCACTTTTCCAGCTGTTTTAAAATGTACATGAAAAAGGTTACATCAGTAATCTGTCTAGATGCTCACAGATTAAGGTTTTTATTGCACACTTTCATAAAATAAGGAAAGATGATTTACACAAACGGGGGGAATGGGTTCCTACCTCGGTATAAGATCGGGCCCAGGCACTGGTAAGCTGGTTTACATCCACATCTCCAGTGGAGAGTCTCTGCAGGGCTAGCTCTGCCTCCCTGTCATAGTCCAGGGTTGTCTCCTTCTCTATGAATCTAGACAGAGAGGCCTTCAACTCTGCAAGTGGAGAGACAATGTTGTTGCTAAACAGCAATAATGACTGAATATTTACTGTAGTGTTAAGATCAGCATTAAATCAGCTGATCTGTCAGATAAAGTTTAATTATGAACCAAAACAAAGGATAAGTGATAAGTAATTTCCCCGTGAAGCTGCAGACTCACCATATTCTATGTAGCAGGGTATCCTATGCAGAAGCAGCAACCTTCCGTGCAGATCACTGATGTTCAGCTGGACAGGAAACTGAAGGGGCACTTTGAGGACACATTTGTTCTTTCCTGCTTTGAATTCAAACACAAACTCCTTCTCGGCGATTCCGTTTGTTTTGCATTTGCTTTTCTTCATGACTTTAAAGCTTTAAAAACAGAATAAAACGATTTAATTGGTTTTAGCAGCCCTGTCATCTGAAATCCGGGCTTTTAAATCAGATTTCATAGCACAGGTTTACGTCTCAGCGACACCTTTACACAGTGGTCCCCCCATAGAGCAGAACCTCCACTGAACAACAAAAGATCCCTTTAATATCTTGAAGCTGATCTTGATGCTAATGTTGAGTTGTTTAGCTAGCATTTAAGCTAGCTGTAAAGTAAAGGCACATTTTGAAGGAGAGACAGGCTATGTTTGCTGCTCTAAACGTGTGCATTAAAATAAAAAGACATTAGGATCTAACAGGTGCGCTTACCTGAGAATGAATGAATACAGCGACGTTATTTCCGCTTGGAGGGAAAGAGACCCTACAGCTCATACGGATCAGCTGACTACCTTAAGATGGCAGAAGCACTTTCGTCACATACATTTCGTCCATATTTCCCTATTGTTTGTTTGAATTAAATTAATTTGTATAAAACTGTCAAAACTTTTTTGTAACTAATTTTTTAAGGTGCACTAAGTTTAAAAGAAAATTTACCAAAGCAGCTTATTTTGTGGACTACTGCCCCCTGCTGGTG